ATTAAATTTAATGAGGTAAGTGGCTTTAAAATGTATTTTTAAAAGATAAGCATATGTTATTGTATCAGTGCTATATAAATTTCATTGCTCATTCCTTCAATGCATGGCTATTATGCATTAAAACTTGTTTATCTAACTATCTGTCCAACCATCCATTTACTCATTAAAAATATTTATTAGACATAGTCTTTTTAAGTGTTGGAGATAAAACTATGAAGACATAGTTCTCAGCATTTAATTTACTTACAGATAGCTGGGTGAAACAAACTTGCAATAAAAGCAGGTAACATGCATTAAGAGGAGGAGCACACTAAACTATAAAGAAATTGTTGAAACAAAAGTTGCAATAATAGCAGGCAACATGAATTAAAAAAGGAGAAGCACACTAAACTATAAATGAATTGTAAGAAATTAGGAAGTAAATTTGAGAGCACAGAAAGGGGAGGTGGGGAAACCAGTAAGATATATTTTGTAAACATCTCAATAAGACCAAAAGATGATAAAAAGTGATGTAAGGAGAATATACTAAGAGTAGCTAATACAATCTACTGTTACCTGAAATGGAAAGCACTTGAAGTGTTTCATTATGACCAATCACTGTGAGTAATTAAGGAGCTGCTTGGGATGTGCATTTGACCGGGTGGACGGATGAATGCCAGAGAATACAGGTCCTTTTATGCTAGCTATCCTGGTGGGTTTGGACTTTATTATGAGTTGAAAGGTAACCACTGATAATTTTAAATATAGTGTTAACTTATTTAAAGATTCCTCTTAGAAATAACACTTTAATACAAGATAAACAAGTGTTTGGAGAAAAACAATTTTGAGAAGAGTCACCAGTTATAGTTCAAGGTATATATTGATAGAGAAAATACCTGATAAACTCATTGATTTATTTAACTGGGGAAGATCACTTCCTTTATCTGCTTTGGCCAATGACAGGCCTGTTGTAACTATTTAGTTGAGCAACATGGGAAAAGAGATGAGAAAGTGATGATGGGTGGAGTTTTAAATATGTTGGGTTCGTCCGACTATAGCCTAGGTTGTTAACCATCACATTATACTAGATGTCATGAACAAACCAAAAAAGATGGAGCATTCTGAGGTCCTCAATGGCTTTTATACCTTGGTTAGGTAACAAGACATTTCCACATAAAAGTAAGTTTAAAGATGGCATATCATATAAGAATAATAAAATGATGCAACTGAGTGGTAGATACAGAGGCTATTGATATTTTTGAGGCACAGAGCAAAGTGAAGGCATCGTAGGTAAGGGAACAATTTGTGAAAGATGGAGGACTGAAAGGATGGAACAGCAAAAGTCAGATTTAGGTAAACGGTGGGAAGAAATTTCAGAATAAAATAATTTATTGGGGTCTAGTAAAGGATAGTTGTGATAGGTGAGTATCAGCAAGAAATATTCTAAAATATTCTCTAGTTACTGATAACTAAAGTACTGGTGTAGTACTTTTGGATATTTTAATTTTTGAAATTTTATTTTTCTTATTTACTCTTATTTGGAAGATGTATTTCTTTTCAATTCTAGTAATTATTATATTTTCTGATGAGAAACAGTAAGAGTAGACAGAATATAAGGTATTTTTTTCCAACCACAATGTAATAGTGATTGGTAAAATAAAAAATAACAAATTAATATTTCAGGCCAGTAGCAATTACATTATAAATGAACTTAAAAAGGTATAATGTAAACATACTTGTAGAGGCCAGACAATTGATTAGAATAGAGAGAATGGTGAAACATTAGTTTGATTATAGACCCAGCACATTTATAATGTATAAAGTTATCAATTCAACTTTTGGATCACTGGATCAAAATACACACATAATACTATTATTTAAAGGGTTACTTATCAAACATTTACATATAATACATGATTTAAATATAACATAGGAGTGACATGTTAAGACTGGTTTCTGAGTATCAACCAAATTGAATGAGAATATGGTTCTTGTTTAATATATACCAGATGATATTTTGCTAAGATGCTTATAGAACAAAAACAGAATTAAAATATGAAACATAGCTACACATTTCCATCTGTAATAATATTAAGAAATGGCAATTCTGATTTTAAAAATAGGTCATAGGAGACAAAAGTAGAATGTATAAACTAAAAAAAAACTGAAGTGACCGTATAGTAAATTTATTCTGATTAATAATAAATTATTCAACAAATATAGTGTGATTGTTTAATTTAATTATATATGAATACATCCTTACCTACATAAAATTTTTACACAATATAATGTTTTGGTCTTTATTCTTTACAAGGTATTTGCCAGATGTCTCATATCAAAATAAGTTACTATTGCTAAGTACTAACTATTCAAGTCACAAACTAAGGTAAAGTGTCTGGCTGGAAATTACAAACCATTTTCACCTGCTGTGAGACAGAACAACTTCATATAGCAAGCACATGCCTAATTACACGTAATGTACATAAGGATTCTCTAGAGAGATATTTCTATTTTATGTCTTTTCCCAAGCTAAGAAACATACTATATGGCTTGTTGGAAATGTCCATGGGTGCAATGGATAGGAATCTACTTAAGTTTTAAAGTTTCTAAGAATTCAACTGATATGGTTTTGAGTAGTTATTTTTATTTCATTAGAAATTAGGATTTATATCTTTTCTAGCTAGATATATATTCTCTCATTGCTTTAAAATAATCATTTGAGAAATGATGATGTTGCAGATGGAAATGATTTTAAGTTCCTTATCCCTGGACTGTTAGCATCATTAAGTTGCCTTTTTATGCCTCCAAAATGTATATTATAATTTCTTTTACATGAAAAAGCTGGTCAATTTAAAATTACCAATGATCTGAATTTATCTGACTGTAATTAAAATGTACTCATCTCAGCACATACCAAGTATCTCTTTTGTAAGCACAAAGAGGAATTGAGGAATTACTCATTAAATTAATAGAATAAAATAAACAAAAAACAAAAATACTGCCATGGACTAACAGAAATAACAAATTAAAGTTGTCATCTACATTTTTCTTTATCTGGCCAAAATATATCTTAGATGGCCACAGATATAATGAGGCAGAAGAGTAACTATACAGGTTATCTCCAAACTTCAAGCCACTGTTTCCTCCATGATTTTTAAACTAAAAAAGATAACTTGCTAATAAAAATTTAGTTTTGATTTTACTTAGTTTTTTTTTTTTCTTTCTTACTTTTGATCGAGTTTCTAGTGAATATTGATGAGACAACAAGACTATACAAAGGAGAAAGAAGGAATATTCAAATCTGGTTAATAACAGGTCAACTCCTAAAGAAAATTTACTATAACTTGGTATTCAGATCTGTTAGGAATTAAATGCTGAAAGTTATAAAGCTTATTGTGTCTCTCATAGAAGAAAATATTTTAAATAGCTAGACAAACTGTAAAGATGCTTACAAATAATGGCTAGTAAAACCATGATGTCTCTCCAATTTTGTGATCTTAGAAATTTACTTCACTTAAATACAAGCAAATCTGACTTGCTCAAGATTCATGCTATTTTGCATCATTTTCTAATACTCAAGACTGCTTAGATCAGTTAGTGCACTATCACATTAAATCTGAAGGAGATAAAATTAGCACAATATTTTCTGTTTAAGCATTTTACATATCAAAGACATTCAAAATAATAGTTTGGACCTCAGAACTCATTACTTAAAAAGTGTTACTAGATTGGCAGAGAGACTTACACATTCCAGCACCAGCACCACAGAAGTAGGCAAACTGCTAGATGTGATGTAAGCGTACTTTTGGTCAGATGCTGCCTAATGACCATCTCACAACTTCTGAGGGAGAAGGCTAAGAGACCACATGTACAGTTGGCTATAACCCGTCTGTGCATGCCCAGGCATAGACCAACCCAAACAAGCAATGATGCAGCTCACCTCCCGGCCTTGTATACCTACTCTTCATGTATCTCCTCCTTACTCCCTTTGTGGAACAGGGCAACATTCTCCTTTCCCACACTTGACTCCTTTGTGCATGAGTCTCTCCAGTAAAGCCTCACCTGGCTCAACTAGACCTACCACTCTCTCATGGAATCCTTCCTTACAGGGCAAATGACCCCACTCTTTTGGGTGTAGGCCCTATAATATTCTGCAAAAGTCTGATTTCAAACAGGGGTTCTGATGGCTGGTTAAGACTGCTTTTGATGCTTTTATTTAAAATTGTCTATGTAAGGGTCTATTCCAAGAAACCTAACCTTGTATGTCTCTTCAGCAAAGTAAAAAATACATTCCCCCCAGCAGTAAACAACCTAGTTAATTTATGTTTCCCACTCCACCAGTACACAACCTTCCTTGTTTAAGATGGTGTATCTAAAGCCATCTCAGATGGCTATATCTCAGTATACTCACATAGATTGATGAGTTACTAATGTATACATGAAGTATGTATTATTCACATATTGAGAAAAAAATGATCTATAGGGGCATAACATGAATGCAAAAAGGAACGTGCTATTGGCACATAGTATAGAATAGACTATGGCATGAATTGAAATTGAAGTATCAAGATGGTATGAAGAAGGCTAATTCTATTCATATCCCTATACTTTGAGCAACACATTTATCTTTTCTATGCCTTATCTGCAACATTATTTGCATCTGAAACTAAGAAATTAAAACTTCATGAGTCAACTACTGAAAGTAAAATGGGTTCAAAATATTCCAGGAGTAAAAATACCTACAGATGCACCTCCATGAATGGAAGGTGTCCTACAAGCAGCTGCCATAAACCAGATTCCTTGAGAAATTCTAGGGGCAAGCCTAACTTGCACACTCGTACTGCTGGGAAGGACACATGGAAGGATCATGTGGAGAGTATACCTGTAGAAATACTTAGAGGACATACTTGGGAGAGACATGTAGATGACATGGCAGCTGGCAGAGACAAAGGCAGCTGGTAGTATAACCTCACTGTGATTATGTGTTATATTTTTAACTTTAACACTAGCCTTCTCTCTCAGCTCTCTAGGATCTGCCCAACCCCTTTGCTGTGGTTCCTTAAGAGCTGTTACCTTAGACTTGTGGTAAGTAGCCATACTGAACCACACAGGTCAAGCCTGTTTGTCTGGGCATGTGCCCAAGGTGTGTGTGTTTGGGGGGGGGGGATGTAATTTTTGTTTTATTAAGAATATCCTTTCTTCTCTTTGTGAACACTAATTCTAATAAAAAATTTCAGAATAACAATATGCTTCCTTTACTTATCCCTTTCAAACTCTTTAACAGTTTGCGTCCCTGAGTGCACTTTGGCCATAACAAGTATTTATAACAATAGTAGACAGTTATAAGAATTTACTTTATGGCACCCAAGATATTAGTATTATGTTTATATTGCATAATTTAAAGTTTAGAACAATCCTCTGAATTGGCTGTATTTTATTCATTTTATAGATATGGGACCTCTGAATCACTTAGCAGGTAGGTGAGCAAGCTAGAATTCGAAATGCATTTTTTTATTTCAAATTCTCTTTCATTAAATTATAAATCAAGCTCTTGATTGAGAGAAAAATAACAAGGTAGTAAGAATAACACAGCTTGACTTGAAGAAAGATGTGGGCGATTCACAGTGACAACTTTCCTGCTGGAAAACCAGCAACAGCAGGGCCTGTTGGCAGAGGGCCAGGAGGCCCATCACTCCTCCTCCTGCAATAAAGGGCACGGCCTAGTTAGATAATACAAGTTCTTAAAAATATACCATTACTCAAAGTCATCCCAAACCCTTATGCGGAATGATAAAGGAGAAGGTCAGGAAGAAATTTCCAGGTATGTGGACAATGTAGATTTATAATTTAAAATTCTTGAGACAGCAAGGATGTGACCTAGAAAGATAGACTGTGTGAAAGAAAAAGTGAAGGGGCACCAACGTGAGACAAAAGGGGAGAAGTTTAAAAAGAGAAGAAAAATAAGGAAACAGCTGGTAACAATGAAACAACAAATAAAATAGCACCAAAAATAGCAGTGAAAAATGTATAAAGACTATAGCTTTTTAGGGCAGGGTTTCCTAAGTTCATGTTATGATTTAGGTCATAAAATATCACTAAGCTAGAAATCTTTATTTTATTATATCAGATGAGCCACATCTCATGGTTGGGAAGAATGATAAACAGCCCATCTAGGCGAGATGCCAGCCAAAGCCCAGTGGAAGAAACCTGTGGTTATGTAACTTAGTATGTGATAAATGACAGATACTGGAAATCCTATCAGTGGGAGAAGAACTGTTATTCCTTGAAATTTAGCTAACAGAAACAGATGTATCACTAAGTAATTTTATTCTGTGAACCAGGAGGTCACAGAATACCAAAAAATAAAAATAAAAATCTGTTATAGACATGACTGATCCTCTGTTGGTAAAATCATCTCTTTACCTGAAATTGTAAATACTCAATTTTTAAAAATCAGGCAAATATAGTTTATTTTTAAAAAAGTTGAAATTAGAATATTTAAAAATAGTTATTGTTCTGAAAAATAATGTGTGTATATATTGTTCAATGGACTTGGGGGAGGTTGAACATATAATATTCTAGAACCATCTATCTTTATATTTCTATGCTCTTGATAGGCTAGTTAGAAGGTTTCATCAGAAAGGTATAATGCCATGTTGTTGCATGCAGGGAGTTGGTGTTATTATTAAGGCACTGTTTGATAATTTCCTGTTGCCACTAGCTGATGGGTGCATACACTTGTACCTTAATAGATTCTGCACCATTATTGTGCCCAATAGCATGTAATCTGTACCATACCAAAGTACTAAACAAACTATGCATTATTAAAAAAAAAAGAAAGCTTAAAAATAAGACATGCCTATTTCAAAATTAATGTTTTAAATTTTTGAGTGCACTTTTTTTTTGTTTTAGTTTATTTTTACATCATTTTATGCCTTTTTCCATCTCAGTTGTAATTCCCACGGACTTCCCACCACCAGCTCACCCATGTGCCATCACCATAGTGCTGTGTGCTCCCCCATTTTGGAGTCCATTCCCCACTTCACCCTTGTAAAATGTCTCTGGCATATGTACCTGACTTTTAAGGAAAAAAAAAAAAATTCACTAACTTGTGGGAAGCAAAGTGTGTGCATTTAATTACCAGGTCAAAAACTGCTGGGAAGGTCTTGCTCTCTAGCATAAGAAATCATGTTATGTTTACCCTTCCCTCAGGGATAGCAGGCCTTACAAACACAGCAAGTCAGCTGTTCTAGCCAAAACCACTGGGATTCATTATAAACCGGAAGTTTATACTACTAATTGCCATCCTTTAAAAAATAATTTATCTGAAGAGATAAAATGATTTATGTGTTTAAAGATATTCAATAGGCTTATATATTTGCTATTATAAATCAGGAAATCTTGGCATAGTAAGCACTCTGTTTAATCCTGGACCTTTATTTTTCAGATCATCATTTCTCACTTCTTCCCCATCTCAAAACATTTTCCCAGAAAAAAAAAATCAAAGTACATATAGTTGCCTAAACATGGCACATCCTCTTATGTATTATGCTATTGTACATGCAGCTACATTTGCCCAGATGATGCTCTTATCTACATGCCTTCAAGGACACAGGTGTGCCTCCAGCTCTTCCAGGTAGATACCTGAATTCTTGCTCCTTCTATGCTTGCACTGAGCCTCCTGACTGCCTCAAAGGTAGCATGCTCAGACTTTTTTTCTACCTTTGTGTTCAGTTAAGGACTTTGATGTCTAATGCCCAGCTTCTTGGACAGGAACACAGTGTAAGAGTTACATAAGAAGGGCTCTGATAAAAGAAAATGATTCAAGTTCTTAAAGTTTATTCTGGATGGGTGACTGTGGTGGTTATTCCACTCTCTGGACTTCAGTTCTCTTTCATGTAAAACAGAAGTAATTGCAGGTCCAGTTATCCCATTACAGACTTGTAACGATTAAATGCAGTAACACATGTGACAAGGAGAGCCACTTACACATATTAAATGCAGTCAGTATTTTTTCTTACTTTATTAATGTTTTACATGATATTTTAAACCCCAACTCATAGATGAAGCTTATTAAATATATATTTTGAATAAAATGAATGAAAAGGTGACTGAAAGCAGGTTATGTTAAATCCGACTTTGGGTGTTTCTCTTATTTTTGTAATAGAGACTGTCAATATTCATTTTCTGCATGCTCCTGCACCAGGCTGATAAGAAGCATCCACATACCAATGGACCAATCAAAGTAGTCCATCAGCACAATAAATTTGTGGTACCCAGTTAAGATTAAAAAACACACAAGAAACTCAAAGTATAGTATATATAGTATATATATAGTATATATAGTATAGTCTAAACTTATTTTCCTGAGAAATGTTAAAAATAGAATGAGTAATATTAAATTCAAGCTTTGGAGAGTATTTTTAGGGGGTGTCTCCCATACTAGTCAATCATATCACCTACTTTGATGATACAGTTGACTTCTGAAATAATTTAGATCAGAAATGTGCTTTTTAGACCCTAAAGTGAATATGAACCATTTAATGACAAGTTGAAGAGCAGACTTCAAATCAGACTCCAAATAGGAAAAGCTGATACATTTGTTTTCTCAGAACAAACTGTTAGAACAGTAAGAAATAAACTCTGAGCGATAGACAGAAGTCTTGAAAGGACTTCTCCATAGATGCCATCTCCAGAGATAAGTTCTCAAGTACATAGGGCTACAACTCCCAGTACGCTATGACTCTGAGTTCCTGAACTGGAGACTGGATGGGACTAGAAAGAGAGTTAAGCCAAGGTTGGTTTAATTTCTCCCTTTCTCTAGCTCTCCTTTTCTCAATCCTCTTATGAATAAATTTCTTTTTTCTATTTGTTTTAATTTTCTTCTCTTTGTGTGTTTTGGGTCTTGTCCTCAGTTCTTAAGCATATGGTGACAACTCACAACTCAGGTCATCCCATTTCTATCTGGAATTACTCTATAGCAACATTGTGTATGGCAAAGCACTAGATAAATGGGAAAATTTTAAAAAGCAAAATAATCAACTGAGATGCTTTTAAAAATACATATAGTTTTTGACTTATGGTGTCATACAAAAGTCTTTACTTAAAAATATAACAAGTTGAATAAGATGACAGGAAACTGCAACTCTGCTACTGTACATCATGAGATGTTACTTGTGGTTTTTACTTGAACAAATGTAAAGCAAAATGATGATAAATTAGCCATCATGAAGTCAATACTATCTAAATGGACTTTGTAATCAGGATAAAACTTATAAGCTGGAGTGAAGACAGATTTCTAAATAGTTAGGAAATATTCATGTAGATGGTGTAAGAGTTATATTTTGAAATTTTCTATAGAAGAAATATAAGTTTCTTCAGGGCAGTCATAGTTTCTCTTGCCTAGCAGAAAATCTGGAAGTCAGTAGCTATTAAATGTACATTTTATAAAATAAAGGAAAAAAAATGAACAAGTGAACCTGGATTTCACATGAAATTTTAGAAAGAATGAACAAAGAAGTATTTTTGTCACTTGTAAGTAAGTGTCATACATGTAAGACTGCAATGATTACCTATAACAAAATCAGGGTTTTTGTTATTTACCTCTTTTGCAATCCTATATTTGTTATGGGTAAATAAAAATATTTAGGGACAACATACTAAATTATAGAATTTAACTGCTAGGAAAATTTGAACTCAAACACTTGTTTTCACTGACACACATTCCTCCTTGTGCATTTCCAAAGATATGTGTTTAGCTAATGAGTTTTGGTTTGTGTTTGGTAGAAAAACAAGTTTCCAGGCAACCTCAGCCACTTGGAAAATGGTAATCATGGTGACAGATTCTTACTTCTTCTGCCTCTCAGATAAATTTTCTTGTTCACATTTTCTTCTTTCAGAGCTAGTATGAACTTGAAGCATACAAAAGGGTGTAATGAGAGGTGGTTCATATCTTATTGATCTGGAGCAGCTCATAGCTAGTATTTTTTTTCCCTACATTTTCACGTGCTTATACTAAAAAAGACTGGGAGCTTAATTATCCTCTCAAAATAGCTTTCAACAGAAAACTTTAAAAGATATTTAAACGTAATAGAGATGAAGATATAGATGATTGTTTATCGGGACAAATGACTGAAAAAGTTACCAAACAACTGTGGTAAATGCAGCATTAGTTTGGGAGACCTTTTAAAAATGCAGGTAGTTTATGCACTTAGGTGCTAAGATGGAAAATAAAAGTTTGTATTTCAATGATACATATCTCTTGTGTCATCCCTTTCAAAGTATATGATAAATACTAAAATTCATTATTTAAAAATTTTTAATATAAGACATAATAATGACTAAAATTTCATGTTCCTATAATAATGATGATGACAAAATAATAACAATAATAATAACAGTAATTCTGTCTAATCTGCTCTGACCTTCATTTGCACCAAAGAGAATTGGATTTAGATGCATACATCTCTTTTCCTTTAAGAGAAATCACTGATCACTGCCTTCAGAGGAACAGCTTGAAAATTTTTTCTCTATATATAGGAAATATTGTATACAGTCACCAGCAGGAAAATAAAAAAATAATAGTTAATTTTATTACAGATAACAACATGCTACTTATACACTACCATTAAAAATATATACATATAGGCCTTCCCTGGTGGTGCAGCAGTTAAAGCACAGCACTCAAAAGCTAAAGTCACTTGAGTATAAGTTTGATCCCTGCCCTGAAGATGACCCACATGGTGCGGCAGAACTCTCCTGACCCCTCCCCCTCCACTGTTCCCCTCAGCAGTGTACTTTGTCAGTTGGCCTGTTCTGCTCCCCACTCTGTCTCTGGTGAATCATTTTGTCACCCCTGCACCTCTGGCCTGTACCCCAGTTCTGTATGCATAAATAAATAAATTTTTAAATATATATATATATATATATATATACACACACACACACATTAAATTCTGTGATAACCTTATAGTTGAGGAAAACGAGTTATATAATGTTAAGCTTTCTTACTAATTTATTCATTCTCCAGGAATTTGAATTTTAAAGAATTCAAGAAAAAGATATGAACTCTAAAGATGCAATCTACTTATACTTACAGATGAACATTAACTGAGGAGGTGAAGTTAAAGTTCTCTAATTTCAGTAAATTCATAACATTAAAAAAAAAAAGATTTGGGCCCTCCCTGGTGGTGCAGCGGGTTAAAGCACAGCACTGAGAGGCTAAGGCCACTTCCTCATGAGCTCGATCCCTGCCTGCCAGAGTTGATCCACATGGTGAGGCAGACCTCTCCTGACCCGCCTGCTGCTCCCCTCAGCAGTGTACTTCGTTGATCTGCCTGTTCTGCTTCCCATTCTGTCTCTGGTGAAGCCTCTCGCCACCCCTGAGCCTCTGACCTGTACCCCAGTTCTGTATGCACAAATAAATATTTAAAAAACAAATGATTACATACATGTACAAGAATGGGGTGTGGGTGAGAGGTGCTGGGGGCGAGGAGGGTGAGAAGACCCACCAAAGACAGAGTGGGGAGCAGAACAAGCAAATTACTGAGATAAACTTTTGAGGGGCACAGCAGGTGAGACAGGACAGATCTGCTGAGTCATGTGGGTCACGTCCCTGGCAGGGAATAGAACTTGTGCTGCAGTGGTTGTGGACAGCTTCATAGTGCTACAGTGTAACCCTTGTGTCATGAGGGGGAGGCCCCAGGAGGCTCCTGGCTACATGGCAACTTGTTTGACTGCACATAGCTTGTGTTTAGACTGAGAAAGAACTTATATATATGATTACAAACACTTTTCACTAGAATACTGGAGCCCATTTAAATGTTAGCAAGGTAACTGTTGGCAGTGAGGAAGTAGAATACAAATGGTTAGAATCTAAAATCAGGGAGAATAACTCAGTTGTTTTAAAATAGGCAACATGTAAGAAATAAAGTGATGACAATGAAAAAAAGTTTTGGGAACTAATAAGTAATAAACTTTTATGACTGGAGATCACTTAGATATGAGAAGTCAGGAAGAGTACAAGCTTGAAGGCAATGCTATGATTACTTAAAAATTACTGAAACTATATGATATAAAGAAGTGGACTTTTTGAAAAATGATAGAAAATGTAGAAAAGATGCCAAATATTACAGAAATTAAATGCAATGTAAATTGAAAATAACAATTAGGGACTAGAAAGTTGTTAGAAAATTTTAACAGCAAAATTTCAGTTGTATGTGAGTGTAATATAGTGAATGATGAGTCAAGAAATAGACACTTCAAAGATTTTGACACAAAGAAAGATTTGGAGCTGAAGGGTAAGGACCATGCTATTATAAAGTTTTAAAGAAATAGAAAAACTTTAACATGTAATCAGAGCAGTAGTCATTGAAAATGGAGAGATCAAAAGTACAAGATAGGGAGAGAAGGTCAGCAGTGTGGAGAGAGTGATTATTGATGGGGCAAAGGGCCAAAGGCAACCAAAAAGTGACAGAATGGGTTTTTGTAGCAAATATAGTATCTCACATCCTTTAGGACCCCAGGGTGTAGAATCAAACAGTTCACTTTTAATCCTGGCTTGCCCATTTAACAACTGACAAACCAAAAATAACCCAAACTCCATATGCCTCAGTTTCCTATCTAAACAAA